GGGGGGGAAAAAAAAAAAAAAAAAAAAAGAAGAACCTGCTTTCTATCTTTTCCTCATCTTTGTTCCTGTCTTATGTGGTTTTCAATTTTCAGAGGGCATGTCTGAAAAGGAAAGTGGGAGGGCGGGCAAGGGAAACAGCCCCAAAACATACCACCGGTGGGTTCCTGCTGCGCTGCCCCTTGCCGCTGTTATTGTTTAATTTCGCACTGACGCGTGTGCCATGTTCTGGACCTTTCTTTGACTAACGACAGCTTTTTTTTTTTTTTTTTTTCCTCTCATGCCAGCGTTTCATGCCTATGGAAAAGCAGGAAAAATGTTGGTGGAAACAAGGTAATCCGCTGCTTATTTAAAGCTTGGATAGTTTGGTTTTCTTTAATGAAAGTTACTGCTCCGTAGCATTTTGTGGCCTTGCTGCGCTCTCGTTTCTTACCCTCCTGCCTCCTCTGCTCTCGGAAGCCTTCCTTGCCACCTCGAACTTGAACAGGAGCATAAGTGAGATCCCCTGAGCACAGCTCACAGGTGTTGCCTTCAGCATATCCCCCCCACTGCGTGGAGACAGGAGCGCCTTCCAGACAGTGGGAGCACAGAAGTCGGGCGATGAACTCATCTCCCGCTCTGCTGCGTGTGCTGTGAAATCATGGGCATGTCACTTGTGGCCGTTTTCCAGGGGTGAAATCCCTGCCAAGAGTGCCGTGAGTGAGTGGGAGGGAGAGCGTTCAGTACCTCGGATCCACCCTCGAGCTGCTCGGGTCCTGCCCGCCGCTCGCAGCGGGCGCTGCCTCCCCCTGCGAGACGCCGGGCGGGAGGAGATGCCTCGCGGGGGAAATCCTGTCTCCGTTTTCAGGACAGAGTCCGGTTCCTCGGGTGACCCCGATGCAAGTAGACCCCACTCTGTGGGTCTCGTGGTGGGCGCTGGGACGTTGTTACAGCCTTTTTCCAGCAGAGATTCTCTGGTGGAGGCGTCTTGAGCCCCGGCCAGTCAGTGGTGCTGGCTCCTTCCTTCTTCCCAGCTGCAAACTGCTGCACAACACTAAAAATACACAGAATATTTCTCAGATGTTACTTCTCTGTGCAAGCAGTTGCTGTAATTGCCACAGGGATGTTATATAATTGGAACTGGGAGGGAAAGTGGTCCGTGCAATCATGAATGGGAGGAGAAGCAGCTCGTAAGACAATCTTTTCATTAAAGTGTGGTCCTTTTTGTGGAAAGAAGTTTGAGAGCCGATCTGGTACTGAGGCTTTCATGGCAGGCCCCTGCTGCGGGGCGTGGAGCTGAGAGAACCTCTTGCCGATTCTTTTAAACATTTTTGCCAAGAAATGAAGGAGTTCTTGCCATCTCCAAGGTTTGTTTTTTGTGTTTTTGTTTTTTTTTTTTTTTTTTCCTGTGGCTCCCAACAGCCGTTCAACCCATAAACGGGCTGTTACCAGAACAGTATTTCTAGCCAAGATGTTTGGTGTGGATGGAAGGTTCTCTGCTTTTTATTTTGCTGGATGCAGAACTGGTGGCCCTTCACGAGCCTGAGGATAACGGCGTGGTCCTCCCCTTCCGCACCAGTAGCGATGGGCAGCCTGCTGTACAGCTCCGAGCACGAGCTCATGGCCCGCTCTATAGACAGAAAAACCTCCTTTACTGCTGGTTGCCAAACGAATTTTCAGTGTATCTGCAGCAAAATCTGGGGCTTGTCTCCACTCTGACTTGCCAGAAGGTTGTGTCAGAGGGTGGATGTACGCTGAAGCGAGGCACGCTGAGGCTGGCTCTACCTCTGAACATGAGCGAGCGCCCGCACGGGGGTTTAAATCACTTTAAATGTACCCTCAATAAACGGGGGGGTGCAGTAGGACCCTGGCTAATCTTCAGCTGCTGCGGTTGTGCGTAGGGCGGTGCCCTTGAGACCTTGTTGGTACCAAACTTTTTGTCTTATTCCTTCACCATCAGCTGCAGTGGATGGGGGACGTCTCTTGCTCCCAGAGTAAGGTGGCCTCAGCCTTAAGCCCCATCCTCTCGGGAGGGCTGTGCAGAGTTCAGATCCGCTGGGGACGTGGCTCCGAGGCGCCTGCCCGGGAGCAGGACCCGCCTGCCGGGGTCGCTGCTCCGGCTTCCTAACCTGGGTGCGTTTTGTTGGTTTTGCAGCATGATTGGGCTGATGCTGGGAACTTGCATTGCTTTCTATGTCGTCATTGGTGATTTGGGGTCCAACTTCTTTGCCCGGCTGCTTGGATTTCAGGTAAATAAATCCGCGGTGGCAGTTCCTGCCGTAGATGTGTCAGAGCATCCTGCCTTAGCAGTGCTCAGCGCCCCCCGGGGCTCACCTCGTGGTGAGCTTTAATGGCACAGATGGCAAACAATCCGATGTGTAAAAGGCGCTTCCAACAAAGAAATTCTTTTTAACTTGGTCTCTATTAATTCTGGAGCAGATGATAATTCCTGTCTTAATTCCTTCCCCAACGAGTAGTGGCAGCCTGTCCCTCTGTCTGAGCTCTCACCTCCTTGCAGCCCTCTAGTTCAAGGGGGGGGGGTTTGTCCCATCCCTTGCTGTTTTGGTGGCCAAAGTTACCACCATGTGCCTGCCTCTTCTTTAAGATAAAATAATCTGCCAAGCCCGGTGCTGGCTCGAGGCGCGCGGTGGCAGGACGTGCTCCTGGTGGGCAGGAGGCTCTCGCTGCTCTTCGCAGAGAGCCGTGAGCACCAGCACTCGGAGCCGGCGCGAGGGCCGTGCTGGGAAACAAAACGGACACGTGGAAAGGGTTTTGGCGGGGCTGTTATCTGCTCCTCCTGATGCTGCTAAGCTCCGATTAAGGGACTGTGAAGTTAAAAAGGCGCGTTGTGGCTGCAGCCAAATTAGGTATTAAATATTTCCAAGCATTTCAGAGTGTTCTGCTATAATAAATACCAATGTGAGGTTTTGATTAATTTTCTGGATCAGAATTTTCAAGCCTTCAATCTCTTGTCTCCCAAGTAAGTTTAGTTTTTATTTAATTGCATGAACATACCTAAATAGCTTGTGCTGGATTAGCATTTAAACACACCCCCCCCCC